GATGACCACCCCTTCCAGGGCCTCCTGGCCCTCCTGGCGGCCTCCAACCAACAAAGGATCTAGCACGCGGCGCCTCACCAATCAATGGCTGAGGAGGACCTTCAAAGGCATAGGCAGGAACCCATTCCCACTCTCCGTCCTGTAGTTCATCATGGTTGTCCCTGCCTGGAACAGGAGCGGTGTGTGCATCAGCACGATCCTTGCCTTGGTTGGGTACAATCTCCTTTGTAGGAACTCCAACACCACTTGCGTCAGCCGGATCTAGTGTCTCGGCCTGCTCTGATGCTGGACCTTGGGCAGAAGTCTCAATCTCCTTTGTTGGAACTCCAATTTCTGCGGCTTCCGGTAAATTCCCTGTGCTTGCTTTCGACTCGGGTACATTTTCCCCACGAAGGTGCTTCACCTGATCCTTGCTCTGGACTGGAACACATGCGAGTGCCAGGACAAGCACAATGGATGATAGCCTCATGATACCGGAAGCACTGAAAGGATGCCTTGAGCTGGTGTCGCTCCCATACACAGCAACTGCAACATCAACTCTGTTCTGCCTTGCACCGGTTGATGCGTTTCAAACACTGAAATGCCAAGGGTTGGTCGTTACTCAGGTATTCACCTCCCCTGAAAAGTCGAAAGAAACGTGCCCGGAACTCCGGAACTCACCAATTTGCCCTCCATCAGAGACTCATGTTGGAACTTCCCATGGTGGAATGTCGGCCTTGGAGTTCACCACCTGACCCTTGCGGGTGGTGCCGTTTTCGGTCACCGAACGGCCGGGACTCGGCCACCGAACGGCCAACCGCTGATCCGTGGTGCCTGGGAGATCAGCAGCGAGGGGGGGGCACGAGAGCTGCAAGCGTCGCAGCAAGGCATGCTGTGCCACCTGCGGTGCGGGGGCCCGGGGAAGGCCCTAAATCAATCGCCCGAGGATGACTGAAGATGAGAAACGCAAGAGAACGGCAAAATACACACACCCACTGGGTTTTGCTGTTCGGAACTGATGTCCCTTTCAAGCCTAGACCCATGGGCCTTCAAATGCATCGAGTCTGCTTTGTGATTCAAAAAATGTTTAACCTAAAAAGGTGACTTTTTTTGGTCAATCTCTGTTCATGAGGTTTTCAGTCATCGTGCTTCGTACTTTCTATTTAACCGTGGAGATCAAATTCACGCACAATTACCTCTGCAAGCTCCACCAATCGTGGATGATGATGATGATGATGATGATGGTGATGACACACGTTGATCTTACTGATATGGACCTGACATGGCTTGACTGACCTGACATGACTTGACTGTTGCCCGCAATAGTGGATGAGATCCCAACAGTCATTGTCATCAGACCCCTACTAATCATCATCATTTGCTGGACCACCATGGACATCCTTGCACATCCATAAATTTATGCTCATGTTCTGCATGCATGTTCACCACCAAACCAGTTGTCAACTCCAGACTCTTGCACTTCCAATCTATAGTTTGTCAATATCCTTCCAACATGAAAGGGATTGAAAGGGCGTGGCATGGTGTGGCACCCCAGCTCTGTAGTCTTGTTTCAGACTTGCTAGTACCATGCTTGTTTGATATCCACCACCTCCTGGCCTTCCCAGCGCAGGCCTCAGCAGACGGTGAGGAGGCAAAATGCTAGCAAACAGTTCAAATTGGGCGAAAGAAGTCGGGCCGAATACTATCGAGCTAATAAGATAAAGACAAGACATGACAAGACTGAATAGTCTGCCATTTAGTCTACCTAATTTCCCTACTGAAAAGCATAGAGGAAAATAGTACTGAGCCTGTATAGTCATTTTTGTAGCGGATGATAGAAACAAAACTACAGACACGGACTTGTCCATGTCTTGCGCTGAATCCAAGAAATGAAAGAACCCCAAAACCCAAATCGGTCGGACATCCCCTTGATTTGATGTCAAGCAAGTGATTGAGGGGGGTTCTCATTCTGACACATGTTCGCTTGAAGGCCCCCAGTTGCGGTCCCTTCGGAACGACCGAGGAAGAAACCGAGGCGCCAGAAAAGCCTCCACTCCATTGGAGACCCAGACCTGAGTCGGCAGATGTCGGTGCGCCGTCGGCAAACACACTTTGTGGTGGGATTCCGACTTTTGCAAAGCTGCAACCGACTTTTGCAACAGGTGCAACAGGGGGGAAGTCCTTTGTCGAGAAACATGCATCCGTTGATGATTGGAGCTCTCAAGAGAGGACCACTTCTTGACAATGTCAAGATCTGCTTCAGCAATGACCCGTCCAACTACGCGACAAGATCTTGAAGAAAGTGTCCAATGATAAATCAACTGCTCCACTTCTTTAAAACACACTGAAACAGTCCCCACTCTAAGGATCCAGTCTTGTGGTCACTCATGTGCCGTTCATGGGAACATCCACACACGTTGGCTTCGGGTGCCCGAAAGATTGCCCGCCTTGCCACCCAACCTCCAAGCACGTCCATGCGCTTTCTTGTCGTTCAAAAACATTAAAAAAACAGTGTCGGTGGAGTCAGTCAATAGTCAAGCAACGCCTCTGGAGCTGGCATCTTGTAGGAGCGCCACCAAACGACGTTGGAGATGGGCTGGAGCCTTTTGAAGGTGTGGGCACCGCTGGCGAAAGAAGGCGTGGGCAATAGCAAAAAGGTGGCAGTGATAAGTAGCAAGGGTCTGGGTCCAGGTCACCATCTCAGGCTCGAGCTACCTTCCTAGTGCAAGTGATAGTTATAGGTTGTCAATACCAACTGGTAGATCGCTATCTCCATGTAGGAATTGAGTTAGCTCATGCTCAGGGTGTTCAACAGGCTATGACCAGCAAAGAGGGCCATGAGGGTCTTGGCCCCGTGCCAGCACCTTATGCACCCTACACTTCGTTGAGTGTCTTGCACCAGAAACGCACAGGCATCGGCTCAACACAAATCTCCTCTACCATAGGTGGTTCTCTCAAGCCACAGCAAGAATCTGTTCACAACAACAAGAAAAGTCCAAAACTGAGGTGTGCAAACAACTTCCCCCCTCTGAGCCCCCAACAGCGTCGCTCACACAATTAATCAGCACCTTCCACCTCGAGTTGAAAGCAACTGTTGCCTTTAAACGCGATTTGGCATTCTCCAAGCAAAAGATCCTTTTTGACGTTTCTCACCGGATCTGAAGACTGATCATGATTGCTCATGACAAAGACTCTGAGCCATGCGCGAAGCTCCAGCGAAGCTCCATCTTGAGTCCTCTTCAGAGTCCTCGTTTCAATGAAAGCGGTGCGACTTCACTTCTGCTACGCTACACTGCGGCCTAGCACAACGGCGACGACAGCGACAACAACGATGATGGCGCCGGCAGCGGCGACGGCGACGGTGGCAACAACAGCAATCCGCAAGCGTAAAGAAAAAAGATCTGGTGCTTTTGCCGAGAACATTGCCTCTTAGAAGCGGTATGGACAGGATGACATGAAGGAAGCATTCCCTTCAGAATACCGGCAGTCGCGTTTAGTGTATCAAATGACCGTCAAATGGTGTATATATATATAGAGAGAGAGAGAGAGTGCAATGCCTTCAACACAATCAAGAGTTGGGACATCAAACATCAAGTAAAAAACAACGTGACATAATCCATCACACACTTCTATGACAAGGGATTCCCATCTTCGATCCCGAATGGCACGGAAGTTGTACACAAGGTTCCTTTTGCTGTTAAGGTAGAACCATTCCGCGAATGTTTTCTCCTGATTGAATTGGCTAGACAACACGAGACACCAGCGCCACGACTGGCCACGATGGCGAATTTGAACAAGTACAAAAGATTAAAAAACAAATATATATATATATAGATAGATAAATATGACTGGATTCTTCAAGATTCACAATCCAATGACCGTCTGACAATCCATGCATTTCTTCAACCACCCTGCATAGATGTTCAATCATAGAGCCGACCCTGCACTTGCGATCTCAATCTCCAAGCATCAATGTCTATGCATAGCACTTGAGTGGATTCTTCCTGCATGGCCAAAGCCAGCCTGTCGCCGACAACGACGATTCCACGAAAGACCCACGACGAAAGGCCCCACGTCGCTCGTCGCTAGGTGTATCACATCTGAAAACAATGGGAGGGGGTGGGGTCCATTCCATTTAATGTAGACTGTTGATTAATAACCCCCCCCCATGGGGAGTTAAACATAATTTAACATAATCAAGAGTCTACATCAACAGAACCCCGTGACTTTTCTTAAAGGAATCTGTTGGATGAATGTCCTCCCGTCCAAGCTGCCAAGTCCGACTTTCTTTCAGGCCATGGCGGCCATCCCTTTTGCCCATGAAGGCGGATCCTGAAGGGGTCTGGCGGATGAATTTCTGACCAATATGAACCGTCTCCGTAAAAAGCACTTGACTTTGTGTGCAGCCTGATTCTTTGTTTTGTACTGCTTGTTTCTGAAGGGAACATAAACAAACATATCCACCGACCAGAGAAATCTTGCCCATACCGAAAGCATGTGATAAAACCTTGACCTTACAGGCTGTTGCCACACCCACAAATGTGTTTTTCAACACAAGAACCATGTGACCTCCAGCAAGCCATCACATGCCAACCTCCACATGGCCTTAAGTCCACCAGCCAGCGGCCGCGCAGATGCTTTTTCAAGGACAACCTCCAGTGACCGGATCTTCAACGCCGACGACCGATGACCCAACCTGTATGGCTTAAAAGTCATCTCCAAGTTGTCGAGTCGTCTCACAAGATCTCCCAAGATCTCCCAAGTAAAGCAAGATCAGATTGGAAAAAAAGAAGCAAATGTTTTTGGAATGTTCTGGAGTTCTCCACTCATCCGAAGACGGACCCAAGTTACGGTGCTTTCGGCCCCTTCGTTCCGACACCGCCGAGACCGCCCGCGCTCGGAAACCGGTGCGTTCTGCCGCTTGGGAGCAGGGCGATGCGAGCCTCCGGCATCGCTCCTATGGCGATGGGCACGGAGCACGCGCGACCGCTGAAACCACTTGCAGCGGTTTTTGACTGCGGTACCGAACGCAACTGCCGAACCTGGACTGGTTCTTTGGGTGCTCAAAACACGCAAAGAACGGCCAAGCACAACCCTCCTTTGACGGATGACATCTGAAGGTCCTTGAAGGTGTTCGGCCAGCCAAGCTCTCCTTGGGTGACAGGATGAGGCAGTGCTCTGCAGTGTTCCTTTACGTTTAGAAGTGCAAAAAAGGAGATTGAATGTCCAGTGTTCGGTTGCTCAAGTACAGTCTGTTACCCGTGCGCATACTAATCTTGTGTTTGTGCAACCAAGGCTAAATCCAGCCCCACAACATCCGATTCAGCCCCACAACACCCGATTCCTCTACAGAACTGACACGTCAACGGCCAAGGCGGCCAAGGATCAAGTCGACATATCCTCCGAGCAGGGAATCATCCAAGAGACATCTCGGAAACAAGCCGGGTGTCTTCCAGTGTTGACTATGGGCGCTTGTGATTGTCTGCTTATCCTGCTACATATCTACCGGTCACTGTAACTCCTCATTTCACATAGATGAATTAGCACGACAGTAATGATTTCGTCCCTGTGTTGCCTTTTCATTCCATGAAGGTGATCCGCTATCTCCTACTTCAGCAAGCTCTGTCTTTCAGCAGTCTGTTTGCAAGTCCTCTAGCATGTTTCACATACGTAGTACATAAAACTATTAAACTATTGCTATTAGAGTTGTTCGGAAGAAACACTCATCTTCCCCCTACAAAGCTGGTCAATTTGAGGCTCTCAGTTGATTATGATCTTTCTGCTTATCAATCTGTTTTGCAGGTGTAAAGATGGAGGCCTTGCAAAACAGACACTGAGACTGACCAAAGATCTTGCGATCAGCACCGAGACACAAAGGGCTGCTCCGTTGCGCTCCGTAGCCCGTCTCCGCTGCCCAGCGGTGAAACTCAGCCATCTCTGAGAACTCCTGGACCTGAGAACTCTGCACACTTCAGTGATAAGCTGCTGTGTGTTGATGTTTGTACATGTTTTGGATGAGGAGGAGAAAAACTAAGTTTATCTGGCACTTTGAAGCAGTTCTGTCGGTGAAACGCCTTCTTTTTGAACTAATGTCCGGTCAGGCTGAAAAACCTGGTAACCTGAACAAATAGGTGCTGGCTCGATTGTACCGAGCAAGGCGGAACAAAGAAAGTCACCCAAAAAAAGCCTGCACAAGAGCTGCCAGGCAAAAAAATTATCTCGTCTTCACTCTTTGTTTTTCTCCCTGAGTTTTGTAGAGTTTTGTTAATGATGTTCAACGTCATCACTCAAATAAACTGCCGAATTCACTCTCGCAAAGACTCAATAATTCAATCAACCCTCATCACATCACGATCTCATGTGGCAGAGATCAACACTCAAGATCCCATCTGGCAGGGATCGCAAGAAGCAACATCAATGGTGGACATGAGGCGAGAGCAAAGAAGGGGATTCAAACAAAATATCAAGTCTCGAGAGAAGGCTTCCTTCAAAAAACCATCAACACAAAGCTCGTGGTGGATGTCTTGAGGTTTCAGTTTCATTGAGAGATATCAAGAACATCTGACTCCAGCGCGCCAAGACTGGTTGAAGCCAACAAACCTGATCTTTGGAGAATGCAGTTGTGAAATGAACGACGAGCGGCAAAGTCATGATAAGAATGCAGGGGTGGTGTGTCAACCTACTTGCCTATACTTGCCGAATCAATAGAGTCTACCGCATTGGGTACGAGTTAAAGTACCGCTGTAGATTTGACTGTATCCACTTGCATCCCAGAAGCCTCCAAACTCGGCAACTCCTCGGCAACTGTCTGGTCCCAACGCCGGGGCGTTAAGAAAATATATGGGATCTGCTCAAAAGTGTTCCTCTGTTTGCCTTTTTGGGTCCTCTTTGGGCGCAGTGTCCTGATTGAAGGGGGACGAAACCAGCTTTCAGCCTGCTATGAGTCAAGAAGGATAAATATGTTTTTCTACCCCCTACACCCACGAGGGGCACGAGGGGCGCTTGGGGTCCTTCGCCAACCCAACATCACCTGCAGCACCACCGACCAGGCAATTCCAGCTAAGCATCAGAGTGCACTTCAGTTGGGCGCCAACACTTGATAGCAGCTGTATAGTATGGACATGACTTCACACCTCGCCCCAGGGAGAACTCATGAGAGCACTTGGAACGCGTGGACCAACCAACAGCCAGGTGAGGACCTCGCCAACCACCGGTTTGACTCTCAGCCTGAATTCAATCTACAGAAGTAAGCATTTCGTGTGTATCGAGCGTCCCGCCTCCATCTTACCATTCATCTCTGTGGATTTGCTCTAACGTTGAAGAATGGACACCCCTCAAATCAGGCCTAGAAAAGCCCCCAACAGTTAAAATAGCGCATGAATCCGCCAAGTGGGCAATGGCACCATCGCTGTGTCTTTGCCAACAATGCTGCCTTGAAGAGCGTGAAGTGCTGTTGGTTTAGTCACTAGCTATCTTCAATCACCACCTGGAGCTTCTCACTGCATCACTGATGGACCCCTCCAGAGCCTGAAATCAGCAGCCGACGTGGCGCCGGCATGGCGCAGTGGCCATGGCACGGTGGATGAAACCCAGCAGGCTGTTTTCAGGCTACAGAAGCCTTGCAACCGGAGAGGCTTTGGAATTACTTGGAGATGTTCAGGACCACAAACGGGCTTAAATGCATCTGCATTAATCCTGTATGATTGGTTTCTCATGGTGTTTCCATACTTTTGGAGGGACATTTTTCATGTTTTTTCAGGATGGGTTGATTCGTTGATCCATCGCAGTGGCGCACGGGTTGGTGAGCTGTGCAGTTGCATCCCGAAGTCTCAACAAGCTGCAAGCTTGGCAGGCATAGATTGAAAAGCAACATGGAATCCATCCAGCAGCTGACACGTGTGACATGTGCTCATTTTGCATGTGATGCACCGAACAAAGCCTCTCTGCTATCTGTCGAAAAAGAAATACACAAACACTCAATCGAGTTCTCGAAAGCTGAAAGAGCTTCTTTCCAAAAGCTCCGAAAATCCGGAGAAATGCTCCGTGCACGTATCCAGCCTCATTCAGGTTCTTGAAGAGGAAAATATCGGACAAGACTCGTTTAATCTCGGCGCAGCGCATGACCTGACACTCTTGACAATCTTCTCCCTTGAGATCCTGGGACATCACTGTTGTAAAACACAGTGTAAGTTCTTGTCCCAGAGTACACTTGCAACCTCCGACCCTTTTCGCCGCTGTCAATCAAATGAACATGAAGAAATACTTTCTTCTTGCATCGTCTTGTTTCTTGACTCATGGCTTCACTGCTCCAAACGAAAACAGAGAGGATCAGGCAGGCTGCTTCCCATGGGATGGTTGGTTGCTACTCTTGCGGACCTTTGGGGGCCTCCAAATGTATTCTACCAAACTCTACCAGCAGGAAGAGGACACCGGTGATTTAGAGATGTCTTCCATCTCTGAAACACTTGAAGACGGAATCAAGAACCGATTTCTCGTGTAAGGCACACTCACTGATACGGAACATGACTTCACTACAGTACTGTTGCAACCTACAGCCAATCTCGTAGTAGAGTGTCTGAGAAGCATGTTGTCTCAGGGCTTTGTCCCCTTTTGGAGCCACAGCCCATCAGAAAAGCACTGCAACAACCTTCTCATCCAAGGAGTTGCAGCAGACCTCCATCAAGGAGTCGCCCAAGAGCTCCTGTACATTGCTGTGAAGGATGCGATGTAGTCGCACCTCAGTGCAGTCATCACGCAGAAGACAAAGGCAATCAGTGGATGAGATTGGTAGGATTCGGTAGGATTGCATTCTCGTCTTCCTGCTGAACGTGTTGGCTCCGGCTAGTTTGGTACGTAGCGACCTCGAGCCTGCCTCTGTCAAATGCTGGCTGATGAAGGGAGCTTCAACAGGCTGTTGAGCCAAGGAAGTGCATCATTTTTGGATTGTCGCACACTCATCACTTGCTTTTCTCTGATGGTTACAGTTACAATCGACTTAGGTGGCCTCAAGATACCAGGCAACCCGGCCCTTCCCATCGCAATGCCGTATGTCGACATGTTGACGCCTTCTAAAAACTCCTTCATCTTGGCGTGGGATATCAAAGGTAAACGTGTCAGGGTGAAGGGTCATGATGCATGGCTGCAGGAGAATCTATGAACGCAAAACCTTGGTGAGTACTGAATTGGCTTGTCAAGGACTGTAGATGGATCGTCCCCAATAGTTATGTTGATCAATCTTGACCCATCCCATTCTCGTTTGCATCGGTCCGGCTGCTTGCCATAGCAGTGTCCAGCTTCTATCACCTGCTCGACAAGAACTTGGCTCCGCGATCCACGACACAACGGTGTTTGACGGGGTGGATCTCCAAACGTTGTTCACCAAGGAGAGAGAGGGAGAGGGAAAGAAAGAGAGAGAGAGAGAGCGCCGCCACACCGAATTTCCGCATGATTGAGGACAAGCGTTGTTCAAACGTCTCATCTCTTCTTTTGATTCCGAAAAAGAAAAGAGACTTGCATCGAAGTCTCTGTCAACCGGCGATTTCGAACCATGTGCAGTTATTTTAGAAGTAACATCTGGGGTGAAGACCTGGAAAGCCCAGAATAGTCAGCTTCATCTCTCATGGCCCACGGATCCCCCCATGGCCCATGGCGGTTTAGGTACTTTGCTTGGACATATTTGGATCCCCCATAGGGACGCCGCAACAATTCCAAATCCCGAGCTGTGCCCAAGCTCGGCACAGCGAGCCGCTGTGCCGCATTGTGCCGCCGTGCCTTGTCGGTGCACTGTTTGAGGTCCACACTCTCATCCACCCAAACCTGAATTTCAAGCGCTGACGCATGGAATCGGTGGGAGCTTTGGACGTGCTCTGTGTTTCTTCTCGCATTCGCAGAGATGGAATCCATGATACACGGGCAAAAACAATGAAAACATGATGAAAATTGCAGCCTATGGATCGCCGACCTTGGCGGTTGCTACACTCCTGGCTCGGCTTTGCCTTGACCCCCTTGGGCTCAGACAGAGTCACCATCTTCTCGGGTCTTGATCTCGTGCTTGGTGACCGCCATCTGGCCGCTTCACAGATCGATGCAGCAGGTCCTTGAGTACCCAGGGCCTTGAGGAAGACCTGAGGGCCCAAGCTCACAGAAATGTAACAAATTAGCTGCTGCTTCATCCAAATGTCGCAGAGTTTAACCACCTCTTTAACCATCCACTCGACCATCTGGACATCCTTACACAATGAAAGTCTTCCGAATGCTAACCATTGCAGTCGGATCATTAGGGAATGAGCCAACCCACCGACAGACCGACCGTCCAACGAAACCGACCGACCAACCGACCAAAATACCAAAACCCAAACCCGCCATCCTCATAATATCATGGCCGCAGGATTAGAGAAAACATGAGAAAACAACCCTAAGAGTCTTTCTAGGACTGCAACCACCCCTTGAGCACCCCAAGAGCCCCGCAACAGGGGCCGTGCGTCTCCCAGCTGACCTGCCCCCAGATGACGACGATGAGCTGAGCCCCGTCGTCCGGTGCGAAGATCACCTCGCCCGGCTCAAAGACTCCATCCTGGCTCGAAGACTCCACGGAGCCGCTGAGTCGGCTAGGACGCTCCGTTCGGTGTTAGTTCGGTGTTAGTTCGGTGTTAGTTCGGTGTTTCGATTCTTGGCCCTGGCACGCTGCAAGTGAGAACTGCCGGTCTGCTCTCTGGTGCCTGCCTGGTACAGGACTGTTTGGGTTTGTCAAAGAGTTCTTTTGGTTGAAGCTTTGTCCTGCTTTGATTGACATTTGATTTGAGGGCGAAGAAATCATGCACCCCATCATGGATATCAGCTAAAGCCAGGTGGTTTCTGATGGTGTTAATTCTGTCACGCAAATCTCAATCTGATGGAGCTTGTTCAAGTCTCTTCGTCTTAATCCTGGCACGTCTGGGTTTGTGGTATCCCACAAAAGGTTGGTCTTTCGCAAGGATATCTTCACCTGTCATGATCTGTCATGGCTCATTTTCAGTACGTCATGGCTCGTGAGGTCTTCTTCTTCGATCAGCTTCCCCCGGACCAGCTGGACACTTACCGATGCGACCCCTGCCCACCTCTGTTCGCGAGATGAGCATGTTCCTCATTTGCGATGCATCCCCAAACAGGTTGAGGAAGGCAATGGGCTTCTCTGAAGCCAAACATGTTTGTTAGACTTCCCCAAACGGCAAAAGAATGCAACCGTGTTTCTCATCATCTAATAGCGCGGCTGATCCACCTCCAAAACTTCTCATCGTTCTTTTTTGCAATCAGGTCCCCGAAAAAGTAGACCAAAAATACCAAAACATGTTGTCAAATTCGCGGCTGTGCATCATAAAGAATCTCGGGCAAACTACACAGTATTCATCCATGATGGGACTTACTGAGACTTACTGCTTAGAGGGCGAAAAGGTAGCGAATTTGAGATCCTGTTTAACAGTTTGGAAACCAGCTGACTAGCACCAGATTCATCTTCCTCGAAAGAGCCCGCAGGGATCACCACGGATAACAGCAACGTACAGCAACTACAAAAGCACCGGACCAGCTGCGACGCTCCGGGCCCTTGCCCTTTCAGGGCCCCGAGCACTTGCTGCTCTGACAGAATCCTCCATGGCTCCGGATCCAACGGATTCCGTGGAAGCCCATGCAGAATCGCCTCCGGCGTCCAAGAGGCGTCAGGTCCGATATTCCATCATGGACCCAAGTTATCTAAGTCCTCAACCGATATTCCAACATTGACACTCCTTTAAAGCCTTCAAGCAACATACTTATCAGCATTGACACTCCTAAAAGAAACTGCAAACAGATTCAACACCACCTTGTATGCAAAACATGTTGCTCTGGCAAAAGTAGCTGGTAGCTTTTGCTTGCAGCTAATTAATGCACCACCTGCATCTTTGCAGGCAGGGGAGGCCCCCAAAGTTGGTAGCTCCGTTGCACCATTTAATGTTGTTATGATTCGATGTCAAAAACTCAAGTAGAAGGCTCCTACAAAAGTGTCTGCACGGCGGACATTGAAGTGAATTTATGACCGAAACTGCAGTTTCTTGCTCGCAAATAGATACCATTCCAAACCGATCAATTGAAAGCTGAAAGTAGCTTCAAGAAAGAATAAAAACACATACACACAATCACACAATCACACACACACAAAAAAACAAAAACACGTCCAATCTCCAATCCTTCAATCCTCCAATCCTCCTATCCTCCGTTCCATTTCTCCGCCGCTGCCGAGCAGCGCGCTTTTGATCAAAAGCGCCTTGAAGGCCGCCCGGCGGAGCACGTCGATGACCGAGGCGCTGAAGTTGCTGAGGGAGGCCTCGAAAAGGTCAGGTCTATCGGTCTAACGGTCCAACCAGAGAAACCGACCAATTCAGTTGTTGAGTCCCAGAGTCTATCCATGACATGCCATGACTACATGCCACGACATGCGATGAAGGCATCCTCCGTCTTTTTTAAGGATCTGCCTGAGGTTGAGAGTCGATCGGTATCTACGGTCGTTTGGCACAAACGGTCATGGGGTTGGCACCTTTCCAAGTGCTTCGTCTGGGGTAACCCTTCTCCGAGCGAAACGATGCTTCTTGCTGAAACCTGGAATA